TGGGTGGTCTGATCCTCTGCTGTGGGGTTGTGGCCCAGCTTCTAGCTGCATCTGGCTGCCTGGGCCCTTTCCCCACACCCAGGGCCACCCAACGGGCGGGGCTGTCTGTCCAGCCCTACCTGTGGCAGCTGTTCTGAACTCCCAGCTGATCTTGGGGCTGAGAGTTGCTATGGAGACATAAGCTCTGGGCTGGATGTGGGAGGGGCGAGCTGACATGCACTGCCCCACTCCCACCCCCAACAGCCCCAGTGTTGGGGAGACGGCAGGGAACAGGAAATAGTGGTCAAGGCTAGGCTGAGGGATTGAACTGGACAAGCTGGCCTTTTCCTCCTAACTGGAGCTCAAAGCTTGGTGGCTGTTTTGTGATGTGGTGAACCCCTTCATCCTCCCAGTAACATCTAGGAGAGAGAAGAGACAGTTGAGAGGGAAGTCTGACTCCCTCATGGATGATCTAGAAGACCCAGGCCTTCTGGGTTACAGTAGGAATATCCACAGGGAAGGATGGTAAGACCAGCCAGAGGTTCCAAAACATACATCCCTTCTCTTGGCAGTAGTCTAGCATCCTAAATGAAGGGTTGGCGGGATTGCCATATCCAGCTAGCAGCCTGTCTTCATATGGCCCATGACCTAAGAATAGTGTTTATATTTTTGAAGGGTTGGGGAAATGAAAAAAAATAAGTATATGTAGTCAGCAGACCCTAATATTTACTCTCACCTTTTATATTAAATGCTTAAAATCCCTGCTTTAAACTTTGACTTGTATGCTCCCTGCTGACAGGGAACTCACTATCTGTAAGGTGGGAAATCTCATCCTGTGAAGCCTAGGAGGCTTTTCTTTCCCTTGAACCGAAGTCTATGCTCTGGGGCTCTGCAGACTTGCTGGGTCCCTCTACCTGGAGCTTTCAGGCAGAGTCTGAAGATACAGCATTACTCCCCAAGGTAGCCCCAAGTTCCTTCAGGTTTTCTTACACTATAAATTCCTTAGGGTGATGCTTTGTCTTCTGGCAATTTAAAAATGAAAACCCCATCCCTAATGTTCCTCTGAAGGTGGTGGCTTCTCTCCTTGAGGGAACAGCAGTGACTTGAGCAATGGCTTATTCCTAATTCCTATGCCAGGCAGTGGACAGGCCCTCACTAGACACTGCCTAGACACAGAGGAAGTCAGAACTTCCTCTGTAGACAGGCAGACGTGTGGTCCTTCACTCACAATTGCCTGGGCAGGGAGGGCAGAGGGGGTTCCCAAGGAGTCAGATGTGACGTGAGCTTCCCTCCACCCCAGAACTGCTGGGGTGAGAATAGCTCTTTACTGGAAACTGTCCAGTCCAAGCGACTCCCAGCTGCCCAGAGCTGACCTGCTTCTCCACACTGGCCCCTGCAGTGCTCTAAGTGGGTACCCTCCAGGTTCAGGGAGAGGTGATTGGACAGTATTCTCTCATAGCCCTCAGTGATACCATGACATTCACCCCTCAGACTGACCAGGACCCTCCCTTTCTCCCCAGCATGCATGTACTCACAGAGGCCCTCAGCAGGGTGGAGAGGCTAGGAATGGGCTGGGAAGAAAGCAGGGACACAGTCAGATGGCTGAGCCTGGTGCAGAGTTCTTACTGCCATGTTGGGGAGCAATTAATTGTGGGAAGCAGAATCTGGCTTCAGTGGATGGAAAGGGTTGGGAGCTAGGGCAGGGCTACAGGGTAGTAAGTAGGACAGATTAGAAGGTAGCATTCACAGGACCTGGTGATTGATTGGATGTAGGACAGTGGCAGGATCAAGGTATCTCCCAGGCTTATGAGTGTACAAGTGGGGTGGGAGTGTTCAGATGAGGCATTGCCTCAAATATGAGCTGCCACTGATGAGGCTGCCAGTAACTTTGTGGAAACCCAGGCTGTGGGATCCTGTTAAGGGAGTAGTAAGTAGGCCCTTCTTCCCTTAGGGGCACCCAGCCTTGGCTAGCAGTGGATGCTGAGGGCGGAAGAGGTGACTCCAGAACTTCTCCACGTGTTATGTGTATGGGTGGGAGGAGTGCCTTCTAATTCTCCAGGGACCCCTTACCTTTCCTGGGCCAAGGATTAGCTTTGAGCCCCACACAGGGTATGGACCCCCAGCTCAGAGAGGACACAGCCAACACACCAGCAGCAGGAAGGGAAAACCAGGTGTAGCTTCTTCCCGGAAATCTCAGGCACCCATTGAGAGACAGGCGCCTACTGCACAGCCTCAGCTTGGCCAGGAAGTACTGCTGGGAGGTAGAGAGGATGAGCCCAGGGCAAAGGTGAAGGGGCAGGCCAGTCACCCTTTTTTTACCCCAGATTGCAGAGGATCTCATGAGCCATGGAGGAGCAACCCCGGACAAAGCATGCCCCAAGCAGGAGAGAGACCAAACGGGCATCTCCAGCCAGCCCCGAGGGAGGGTTAAAGACCTGAACTGCCAAAACAAGAACAGCCCACAGCCTTTAAGCTCATTTAGGTAGTAAGCCCTTAGTCAGCACTTACTTCTTTGCAAGCAATTCCAGTAGCTGACTTCTTGGCAAAAAAATGGTAGGTGGAGAGATGTATGAGAGCACCTGAACCACAGTAGGGGCAGGGAAGACCCTGTGAAGTACAGAATAAAAAAATCCAAAGCCATCTAGGCAAACGCCTCTCCTGGCCCCTGTAAAAAACTCCAAGGACATCAGTGCCCCGGAGCCCTGTTTATAGGTCTGGTTGCTAAGGCAGCAAAGTATGAGTGACAGGTAGAAAGATTTCTACCCAAATGACAGGTCAGGAAAGTTTGGGCCCTCAGAGGGGTGAGCCTCATTTATCTGGAAAGTTCTCTTATCCAGGACAGCTTGTTCTCTGCAGAACCTGATAAAATGGAGCACTACTCTTCCCAACCAGTCCTCCTCTGGAGTTGATTTTGTCCCTTGAACACTAGCACTCTGTTTTGTTTTGTTGAAATCTTCTTTCTGCCTCGGCAGAAGCAGGGGTTTCCAAGAGGGGAGCCTAACGCCCTTTCTTCACTAACTCCTGCATTCACTCACCAGGTGTCCCTGGCACCAGCCCTGAGACAGGCCCTGGTGTGAATCCACTCGGGTCCCTGCCCTCAGGGAAGACAGACTCCTGAGACCCTTTGAGCTGGATCTCAAAAGGTTTCAGCGTGGTAAGGCAGGGTGAGCCCCCCAGGTGGAGTAACCATGGAGGGTGGGGGAATGATGCATAGGAAAAATGTGGAGACAGTGGTAGGTGCGGAAGTCAAACTGGAACCTGGCAGGAGTCTGGTTTCGAATATGATATACAGGCTTATTTAGACTCTGGGTGGATTTCACTGTCCTTGGGTCAGTACCAGAACGTGGCAGGGGGAACCCTTGGCTCGGTGATGGTGCCAGGCACTGTGTAGGCACTGTAAGTATGTTTCATTAATTCCCTGTAGCACCATGAAGTAGATAGTGCTAATGTTGCCATATGAGATGAAATAATTTGCCCTTAGTCCCACATGAGGTAGATGATAGAACTGGTTGTGTCCAAGTTCCTAAGCCCTGCACAGTCTGGCTTCCTTGTGACAGACATATAGGTCATTAGGGCTGCCTCCCACCCCTCCCATCCCCACTCCCTATCCTATCCTAACTCCCTGGAGCCCAGCCTCTTGTCAGGTGTGTCCAGACCTGGGGCAGATCGTGGCAGCAGGGCAGCAAAAAGACGGGTAGAGGCCAAGAACCCACTGCAACTGTGGGGCCATTCCCAGCATACTCAGTGGGCATTCCTGGGACCTCAGTGGGTCCTTGGCTCCCCCTTTGGCAGTTGTGGCTGCTCACAGCTTTCTCTTGTGCTGGACCCCTGGGCTTGGGGTCAGGGTGGTTAAGGAGGGCTAAGAGCAGTGACAATGGAGGTTATATAAGAGACTGCATATTGTTATATGCCCATGAACTTGCAGAGGCATGTGGGGAGGGATGCCAGAAAGGGCTGGGTTTGTATGGAGTTGAGCTTGAGCTTCAGGTGGTGTGGGAGGAGGGGCGTGCAGGTTTTAACTGGCCAAAGCCAGGAATATTCAGATTACGTGAGCATGAGTCTGTGTGTGATGGTGTATGTACACAGGAAGCTGTTTCTGGGTATGTTGGGTCTTTGCCCAGCTATGCATGTGGCAGGGTGGATCTGGCAGTCCCATGGCACTGGGTGTGTGTGTGTGTGTTGCCTGACAATACAGTGAATGTTGTCGGGCAGAACCGGTGCTGCCTCCTGCCACATTCCTGGGATCCAGCCAGGCCCCCGCCCCTCGGTGGGGGCAGGGCTAGTAGACAGGCCTGTGCTAGGACAGGTGGCTCCAGTTCCTGGAACTGCTTCCTTGTCTGTAGCTTTCCCTATACCCCCAAGCTGGGCTCCTGGGATCAGGGAGGAAGCCATGGGTCCTCCCAGGTGGAACTCCCAGGCCAACTGGGAGGACCTGGGCCTGGGGGTCAGAAGGAGCAGCGTGAGCGTCACGCTGGTGCAGGCTGGTGCGCCAGGCGCTGAGTACGGTCAGTTGAGCCTGCCTCCCCTTCCTCCCAGAGCCTCCAGAGGAAGGCAGAAGCCATCTGTCCAGCTGTACTTCCCAGCAGGGGGTTGGGGAAAGGGCGCAGGTGGCAGGGTCACCTGTTAGGGGAGCTATGAGGAAAACGAGGGCAAGGGGGAGGAAGTGTTTTCTGTCTGAACCCCTCTCTGCTCTATGCCTGAACTTCACCACTGTTTATTTGCCATAATCCCCAGCAAATCCTTTTGCACACGTGAAACCGCAGAGCACTGGAAACCCTGCCTGGGGGAGCGTGAGAACTGACAGTGCTCTGGGAGATGGAATCCAACATCTCCCAGCCCCTTGTTTCTCAAGTGGGGAACAGGCCTGCAAAAGCGGAGGGGCAGAGCTCAAGAACAGGCAGTCAGTTTGGGGCTGGGCCCTCCCAGTATCCTGTGGTAAAATGGCCCTCTTCAAGGGGAGTGCCAGGGAGAAAAACAACAGGGGCCTGGCCTCGCCCACCAGACTGCTTCTCTCCCTGCAGGTGATTGAGGAGTTCTACAACCAGACGTGGATCCACCGCTACGGGGAGCACATTTCACCCTCCACACTCACCACACTGTGGTCCCTTTCCGTGGCCATCTTCTCTGTGGGGGGAATGATTGGCTCCTTCTCTGTGGGGCTTTTTGTTAACCGCTTTGGACGGTGAGCAGAAGAGGTCCTGGCCCTGCCTCGGGAGTCCCAGATGGGAGTGGGGGTTGGGGAGACCTCACTGCCTGCTCAGGGTGTTACCTATGACCCAGCCCCTGGGGATCCAGGGACCCACCTGACCTGTGACCCCACCCCCAGGCGAAATTCAATGCTGATGATAAACCTGCTGGCTTTTGTGTCTGCTGTGCTCATGGGCTTCTCGAAATTGGGCAAATCCTTTGAGATGCTCATCCTAGGCCGCTTCGTCATCGGTGTGTACTGCGGCCTGACCACAGGCTTCGTGCCCATGTACGTCGGGGAAGTGTCCCCCACAGCCCTTCGAGGGGCCCTGGGTACGCTGCATCAGCTGGGCATCGTCGTCGGCATCCTCATCGCCCAGGTGAGCCAGGGTACGGTCTGCTGGCCCAGCACTGCCCCCACCTAGCACCGTCAGGGGCTGTCAGGTTTCTGTCCAGATCAGGCTTCTCCCCCAGCCTTCCACAGCCCTGCAAAGGATAGCCTTGCTGTGTACACCCTAGGCACAGAGAGCGCACCGCCACCCAGTCCTTCCAGGGCCTCCCTGGAGGGACAGCGAGTCCAGGTGCCTTGACCCTTCTCATCCCAGTCTGCTCAGCCTCATGTGTTTTCTTCTCACCTTGGGGATCCGGCCACAGGGAAGCCCGCTGTTCTCAATAAGCTGGGCTTTCCTGGGCCTTGTTGCATTACATATACGCTACCCTGTCTCTGGAAGACTTTCTCTTCCCCACCCCTAACATCGTCGGGAGTAGCAGCCTATATGCTCTGTGCCAGACACCTGTGTAGTTGTGCCACCTGTCCTCCCACCACTACCATGGGGTATGTCCTGCCTTCCCCATGTTCCAAATAAGAAAACTGAGGCCAGAGAAGTTAAGCCTCACATTAGTGGCAGAGCCTCCAGAACTGGAGTGCTTTCTCAAAAGCAGCAGCTGACACAAAGCATGCAAGGGCCACCCAGTGGAGTGGGGCTGTGAGTTGGGGCCAGTGCAAGGGCACTCATGGCTGCTTCCCCCACCCCTGCTTCCCCCAGGTGTTTGGCCTGGACTCCATCATGGGCAACGAGGAGCTGTGGCCCCTGCTGCTGAGCATCATCTTCATCCCAGCCCTGCTGCAGTGCGTTCTGCTGCCCTTCTGCCCTGAGAGCCCCCGCTTCCTGCTCATCAACCGCAACGAGGAGAACCGGGCCAAGAGTGGTATGGGCAGAGCCCTGCCCTCCTCCCCGCCCCTGGCCCCAGCCTTCTTCCTGCTCTGAGCCACCTCCACCTTCCTCTGGTCCCCCAGTTCTGAAGAAGCTACGCGGGACAGCGGACGTGACCCGCGACCTGCAGGAGATGAAGGAAGAGAGCCGGCAGATGATGCGGGAAAAGAAGGTCACCATCCTTGAGCTGTTCCGCTCACCTGCCTATCGCCAGCCCATCCTTATCGCCGTGGTGCTGCAGCTGTCCCAGCAGCTGTCAGGCATCAATGCTGTGAGTGCCCCGCGCCCCCGCTTCCTGTGGCCCCCGCCAAACTGGTCAAGTGCATGCTGTGAACAGATCCCACGCTTAAAACACCAAACAAGCCCCTGCCAAACGAGCAACTTTCCTTTAGAACCAAGACCCAGAAGGGTGCTTGTGCAACACCCCCTTCCTTGTATACTTAACCCCATGTCCTGCACCCCACAGGACAGAGGCAGGGGAAGGGCCACAGCACCTGGCCCAGCCCCAATGACTTATCTGTCCTGTAGGTTTTCTATTACTCCACAAGCATCTTTGAGAAGGCGGGCGTGCAGCAGCCTGTGTACGCCACCATCGGCTCCGGCATTGTCAACACGGCCTTCACCGTCGTGTCGGTGAGTCTTTGTCATTGCCCATCGCTGCTCAGCAGCCAGCTCAAAACTGAATGACAGCATTGACTGCCAGCTGGGCATGTGTCACGTGCTCTACAAGTGCTGTCAGTTCATCCTCAGAAACTTGTCAAGTTCATTGCTCGTATCAGACAGCAGATGACACTAATGCTTAGAGACATACAGGGGCTTGCCCAAGGTCACAGCCAGGAGGCTCAGTTGTCTGGCTGTCTGGGGCTGGCTCTCACCCCAGTACTGATGTCGGGCTCTAGGGCCAGCTGTCTCCCCTTCAGGTTCTCTGTGCTCTGCAAGCCAAGCCCCAGGGAGGAGGTGGTCCCATTTTCCCCTCAGTCTCTGCAGTGCTGTGGGGCTTTGCCAGCACAGAGCCTCTTGAGTTCAGAGGGGCACCAAGGCAGGGTGGCACTGATGCTGTCTCTGCCCACAGCTGTTTGTGGTGGAACGAGCTGGCCGGCGGACCCTGCACCTCATAGGCCTGGCTGGCATGGCAGGCTGTGCTGTGCTCATGACCATCGCACTGGCGCTGCTGGTGAGTTGCACGCTCTGGTGATGAAGTGGCAGGGGTGGGTGGAAAGCTCCCATGGGCTTCAGATCCCAAAGTGCCTGTCTCAGCCCCAGCCTGGCCAGCAATACCCAGAGGCCGGGTGAGGGCTGCCCTTCTGCTCCTTAGGTCTTCTCATTCCACCCCACTCACATGCTATCCTGACCCGGCTCCTCTCTGCTTGGCACTTCCTCGCCACAGCATCTCTGTTCCTGGTCCCCAAGAGGTGCTTCACCCCATACTAAGCCATTCAGTCTTCATGTGTAGCCTCAATTCATCTTCATAACAGGCCTAGAAATATATACCCTTCTCACCAGAGGCATAGAAACATGCCTATCTCACTCAGTTCTCACGACCAGCAGGTCTAGTTCAATTAGTACATAAGTTGACTCTTGAACAACGTCAGATGCCAACCCCCCATGTAGTCAACGATCCATGTATAATTTTTGCTTCCCCCAAAGCTAACTACAAATAACCAGGAAGCTTACCAACAACATGAACAGCTCATTAACACATATGTTGTATATTAAATGTATTATATATTCTATTCTTAAAGTTAAATTAGAGAAAAGAAAATGTTTTTTCAAATTGTCATAAATCTTCAAAAAATTTTTTCGTGTTTGTTGAAAAAAATCCATGTGTAAGTGGATCCACACAGTTCAAACCTTGTGCTGTTCAAGGGTCAACTGTATTCCATTTTCACAGGTAGGGAAACCTAGTCCCAGCGAGGTAGTAATGAAGCATATAAAGGATGAAGCCAGGAATCGACCACAGGTCCCCTGGCTCCAAGCCTGTGACTGTTACCTCCATTATTACCCTGTGACAGGCACTTCATGTGCATGAACACTTCATCTGCCCAACCTCTGGGCAAGGAAAGCACCCATGTGTGTACTCTTTTTACAAATGAACTAAGGCTTACAAAGTCCGGTGCTTGCCCAGAGGTTCAGCATACAGCAGGTGATGGGTGACACTGGGGAGCTGAACCAAAGCCTGTAGCTTTTCTCCTGTGGCTTCCCCTCCTTGAGAATGATCACATACAGAACCACTTGCCTGGGGCCTACTCTGTGCTGGCTGTAAGCTGGGCACCTGGACACTTTCTGACACCCCCAGGAATGTTCTTCATCCTCCTACTGCAAGCAAACTGCTCTGCAGCCAGAGCCAGGGGACCACAAGGACTTCTTAGCACCTCCTTCATGCACACCCCATAATCATTCCTAGAGGGTAGACTCACAACAACAACCCTCCTGTACGATGTGGATAGTTTTGTTCAGATGAGGAAACTGAGATCCAGCTCACGGTACCTAAGTCACATGGCAAATCCAAAATCAGCCCCAGCCTCCTTGCCTTCCAGCCCAGAGCTCTTAGCCCTCCCCGGGCTGCCTCTGCAGGTTGTTCCCTCTGGGGTACGATCACGGCCCAACCTAACTTTCCTCCCTTCTCTCTGGTCCTCCACAGGAGCAGCTGCCCTGGATGTCCTACCTGAGCATCGTGGCCATCTTTGGCTTTGTGGCCTTCTTTGAAGTGGGTCCTGGCCCCATTCCCTGGTTCATCGTAGCAGAACTCTTCAGCCAGGGTCCTCGCCCAGCTGCCATTGCCGTTGCTGGCTTCTCCAACTGGACCTCGAATTTCATTGTGGGCATGTGCTTCCAGTATGTAGAGGTGAGAACCCCCATTGTCTGCACACTCACCGTTTCTGTCCTGCATGCAGGACCCTGAAGTGCTCTGCAAAGTGCTCTCCCAGCTGTACTCATTGGAGTCATGCTGAGGAGGAACGTGGGGCTCAGAAGCCCAGGTCACAACTAAGAACCCTGACCTCAGTGCCAGGGTTCTTTCCTTAGCTTTGCATTGTCTTTATTCTCTGCGGTGGGAACCTGCTTCCTGGAGCCTGTTGTTTTCCAGGTGCAGGCTGAGTCTCATTTAATCATCTAGCACATCAGGTTGTGGGTGGGTGTTCCCTTTTTTAGATCAAAGTCCCAGAGGTAAAGGCCTACAAGCCAAGGTCCTAAAGCCAGGGTGCAGGGTCAACTCCAACCAAGTATGTCTGTATCTTCCAGCAACTGTGTGGTCCTTATGTCTTCATCATCTTCACTGTGCTCCTGGTTCTGTTCTTCATCTTCACCTACTTCAAAGTTCCTGAGACAAAAGGCCGGACCTTCGATGAAATTGCTTCCGGTTTCCGACAGGGGGGTGGCAGCCAAAGTGACAAGACGCCCGAGGAGCTGTTCCACCCTTTGGGGGCTGATTCCCAAGTGTGAGGTGCCCACACCACCAGCCCGGCCTGCTCCCAGCAGCCCCAAGATCTCTTGAAGCACCGGCAATTGGATGAAATATCCAAACTGACAGATCTCAGCAAAGCCGGGCCTGGGGCTCCTTTCTTCAGCAAACAGTGACATCCAGAAGAATATTAAGGACTTTCACAGCTCTAGGACTTTAACAGAAACAAGACTGTTGCTCAGATCTATTCAGACAAGCAACAGATTTTATAATTTTTTTATTACTGATTTTGTTATTATTTTTTTTATCAGCCAGAGTCTCCTGCACCCACACCCCAGCCTCACCCTGAATGGCTCAGTGCCTGAGGGTGGGGACCACGCCCTGCCTAGACATTTGCCTTCTGCACCAATCTAATCCATAGGGCTGGACCTATGACCATGGACACACTAATCAAACCATGAACTAGGAGGCTTCTACCCCAAAAGGTGGCTGTGGCCACTGCCTTCTGTGGGCCTGGATCTCCCCACCCTAGGAGGTCAAGCTCCATTAGGATTTGCCCATTCCCATCTCTGCCTACTCAACCAACCACTCAAATTAATCTTTCCTTGCCTGAGACTGAGAGCACTGGAGTGCAGGAAGGAGAGGGGAAGGGCCAGACTGGGCTGCCAGGTTCTAGTCTCCTCTGCACTGAGGGCCAGATAATCGCCATGAGAGGAGAGCCATGGGAGGCCAAGAACTCACTGCTCAAGAAGACATGGACACTCCTGCCCTGCTGTGTATAGATAGAAGATATTTATATATATTTTTTTGGTTGTCAATAGTAAATACAGACACTAAGTTATAGTATATCTGGACAAACCAACTTGTAAATACACCACCTTACTCCCTCTGTAACTTACCTAAACAGATATAAATGGCTGGTTTTTAGAAACACGGTTTTGGCGTGCTTGTGGGTTGAGGGTAGGGAGGTCTTGATGGAAATGGGAGAGAAGCAGCTGCTATAGTGGCTTTCTTTTTAACTCCAGATCCAGCCCTTTCCAGATACATCTGATTGAGACCCTTTGTTGCTTAAAAATCTGTATGATCCTATTATCCATAGAAAATCTAAGTATCTTGGCATTTCCATTTTCCTTTACATATGGTAGTTGGTATTTAAGAAATGATAGCTATGGGCTAAACCTTGATGCTCAGGCCTTGATGTACATATCGTAAATGTGAGATAGGTACTGTTATCTGCATTTCATAGGCTTGAGGTTATGTGCTTGGAATACTCATAGCAAATATGCTAAAACCCCTGCTTTTAACAATTTTACTACTCAACCCCTACCCCGTACTTGACTCCTCACCATAGCAAAATGAACCATGTTTACTGCATGGGCCCAGAGCTGGCAAGCTGCCTTCTCCCATCTGTTTCATTCAGATATGCCTGCCTGAACTCAAACCACCCGCCAACCACCACCACACACACACCTCTGAATTTCAAAAGCACTTCATCTGTTCCTTTCCTGTGGCACTATATCTTTCCAGCCTTTATTCCTAATTTCTCCCACTAGTCTTTCATGGACAGAAGTCACTTTGGTTCAACTGGGTCTTCACTAAATATAGGGCTTGGCAAACGGGCACTCAGAATGAATTAAAGTTCCAGGGATATTTGTCCCTGGAGGCTCAGCTGAGACACTATGGAGGGAATTTGCCTGTCAAAGCCCTCTGGCACACAGGCAAAACTATAAAATCTTGGCATGAAGTGGGGTTGTAAGGAAGGGCTGAGAAGGTAAAACAGGTACTTGGTAAATGGAAGTGCCTATGTGTATTTATCAGGTACAGAGAATTCCCAACTAACAAATGAGTCAGGTTCAGAGAAGGGTTGTGCCTTGCCCGAGCCTGGGGGTTAACTGAAGGGCTGGACCAGGTGAGAGGTGAAGTGGGACGAAAGAAGTCTGTGTCCCCAACAAGCTGCTTTTGAAAGCAGTAATCTCAAGAGCCGCGGGCGGGGGCGGTGCGGAGGAACAATGCAAAGCCCTGTGTGAGTGGCCCAGGCTACCAGGGATGCACTCAGGACTCAAAAATCTACGGCGGCTGTTCCCACTAGATGGGAAGTAGATCAGGTTGGATTTGGGGCTGGAGGGGCGCACGGGGCGCATCAGAGGCCAGCACTGAAGGATGCAAAGTGGATGGAGTGCAGAGTCCACGCTGCTCCTTGGGTGGGGCTCACGCGCCCCAAGCCCCGAACTGGGGCAGAGCTCGGCAGCACCGCAGCCCCACTCCGGCCCAAGGCTTCAGACCAGGGTCTGAAAAAGGCCGAGAACCCACTCCCCGATTCCCTTCCCGCACTAGGTTGGCTCTAACTTGTGGGGCGCCGGCCATTTCCCAAACGGCAAGGTGCACGCAGGCGCCTGGAGCCCGGCCCCCCAGGCGTGGCCCACAATGTTCCGGGAGGCACAGCTTCAGGTCCTTTGACGCCTTCTCTCCAGGGGCCGCAGTCCATCGCGGGTCTGGATTTGGGGCCGGCCCATCGTCCATCCTCCACAGAACCTAACACTGCTGCTCCAGGGCCCACTCAGCGGTCGCGCACCCACACAACTAGCCTCATTTTGTCTCCTCGCCGCGGGGCGGAGTTACGTGCTGTCTCCACCAATCAGCCTTTGGAATGGCGGGGGCGGGCCGAGGCCCTCACCAATCACAGCTTGGCTATCAGGGTCGGCGGGCCAGGCGTCTTCTCCTCCGGCCGGACGCCTGTGCACGTCTCTCCTGGGAGGTGCCTTTGCTCCAGAAGCGAGCAAAGGTGGCTGGTTTAGCGCCGGCGTCCTGGGGAATGTAGCTTACCTGGGATGCAAGTCGCGCGTAGGATGATGTCTACGGATTCTGACGAAGGCGGGCAAATAGGTAACTGGCACCTCCTAGGCCACTTTTTTTTTTCAGGGCTTAATTTCACCGACAGTTTTGTGAGATACTTTATCTGATACCTTGGGCTCAAGTCTCCCATCCCTGGAAACTCTCTGGATCAGGTTCCCCCGCTGGACCCCAGAGCTTTCTGTACTACCTCCATTAAATCGCTCTCCACACTACCGGAGTTGACTGTCCATCACGTTGGGGAGGCAACTTCTAAGTCATTCCTTTGTCCCCAGTTTCCACCACAGACTCTCAGAATTGTGGAATGAATGAACTAGAATTTAGACTCATTGAAGTTGTCCAATCAGTTCTTCCAGTGCAGTTTTAGGCAGAAAATCCAACAATTCAGAATATGCATTTAATAATAAGGGAAGAATATTCATTCTTCTCTGTCAAAACTACCTTTTTAATGCCCCTTTCTCATTCCATGACTTTTATTTCTTAAGACTCCCACAAATCCGGCCCCTGCCATTGCCACTGCTGGCGTAGACCTCTCATCCTTTCTCCTGGGACTGCTGCAGTACCTCCTCACTGTTCTTCCTGGTTCCTGTCTCTTTTGCCTCATTCTCCATTGCAATCTTGGTGATCTTTCTAAAATACAAATCTAGTCATGTTTTCTCTTACTTAAAACCTTCCCTGGGTACCTTAGGACTATGTCGAGCTTGCTTAGCCCAGAAATGCAAGGCATTCATGATCAGTTTCTAGCTCTCATGACGCAGCCTCATCTTTCACTAATGCCCCACTCCGCCCTACTCCATCCAGCCTTTCTCCAGGCATTGATCACTCTGTCCATGTACTTCTTCACCTATGGGCTTTTGGCTTCCCTCTGCACAGACTGCCCTCCCACCCACTCTTTTATCCCGTCAAAGCCCAAGAAGTTGGCAGGGGAAACTGCTAGTTGGAGGGCCTTGCTCATCCATTCCTTGGGACACTGCTGCCAACTAGTGGCTGTTGTGTGAATATTCAGGGCCGTTTTAACCTCAACCTCTGCCGTTTCAGAGAGTGGATTGCTTTGGAGATAACCCTTCATTGTGACTGTTACAACAAATCCATTTGGTAACCCTGTCTCTGACACTTGGGAAAGAGCTTCCTAAAGCAGTGTCTGACCACATGACTCGACGGCTTAATGTTCCCCACTGTCTCATGGTAAAGGCCAAATTCCTTAACCTAGCAGTCAAGATTTTTCATATTCTGGTCCTTGGAGACCTTATCTTCTAATACACTTCAAGATTCAGCCACAGTGATGTACTCAGTGTTCCCTGGACAGCTCCTCACCTGTCTAACCCAGAAAATTTTTGTTCATACTTCTTTTTCCTGGTCTGCCTTTGATCTCAAAAAGAAAAGAAAGAAAGGCTGTTTGATCTCAAAAAGATCACATTAACTGTCACTTTCTCTACCAAGCATTGTTCATTCCTTCAACTGTTACTTAACTGAGCACACACTCTTTGCTAAGCTTTCTCCAAACCTATATGGTATCTTAGAAAGAACATGGTTCCTAGAGTCAGATATAACTGATTTCAGATCCCTGGTCTGCTACTTGGTTGAATAACCTTGGGTAAGTCAGGTCACCTTTCTGAGCTTCAGTTTCCTTAACTGTTATGTTAAGGTGAAATAAGATAATGCATATGTAATGCAGATATAAGCTGGTGTTACTCCATATTCACCCTTCTACCCCATTCAGCAAGTCTGGTACTCACCCCCAAGATTTCTGTGAATTCCCAGGGATTTCTTCCCTTCTCAAGGTCCTCTCTGATTCTGACAGTCAGTGTCTCTCAAACCACCTGGTGCAAGATTCCCAGCACAAGCTGTTTCTTGTCATGGAACTTGTATATTTTCTTTAGTTTCTCTTTATTTATTTACTGAGCACCTATGGAATGCCAGGCACTATTCCAGGGCTAGGGATCCAGCAGTAAACAAAACAAAGATAAGCCTTCATGGACCTTATATTCTGGTGGGAAAACCCAATAGACAATCAACAAATGTGTAATAAAATAAGAGATGCTGATTTGTGTTATGAGGGAAAAGGGCAATCTAAGAGGATAGCGGATGACAGAGCATGAGAGCTGGGGTGGATGGGTCAGTTTTAGATGAGATTGTTTGAAATCTTCTCTAAGGGAGTGAGTGATATTTGAATACATACTTGAGTGAAGTAAGGAAGTATATCATACACTTCTGGGGAAAGATCCCTCTGTGTCAAGAGAACAGTGCGTTCAAATGTGCAAAGGTGGGGCTATGTTTGGCCTTTTGAGGACCAGCAAGGAGGCCTGGGTGACTGGGTTAGAGTAACAGGTAGATGATGTCAGAGAGGTAGCAAGATGCTACATCATGTAAGGCATTGTGGATCACACAGGGCCTTTGTTTTTAATGGCAGAAGGGTTTTACTGTTTTGATATCTTATGTGTGTTAATTATAGTAAGTGGTTATGGTCAGCAGGTTAGGTATAGGGCTGCCCATAAGGAGAAAGGAGCACTTGGAGCTGGCTCCTTCAGACGTCTCCCCAGTTGGGCTGACACAGGGCCCAGATGATGCTGCTGGGCCAAGCAGGCAGGTGCACAGGTAAGGGCCTCAGGGCTGGGCTGCCAGCAAGAGGGATGAAGCATCTACTGTTCCCCAGAGTGCCCAACCTATTGGGCTGACAGTGGGCTGGGGAGGTATTGTCCACCTGCCCTTTCTCCTGCAGAGAGAGCTCCATCCAACCCTTGCCCCTCTGGTATCCCTCCTGCTGCTGGCAAATCTTTCAAACTGCGGCCTCAGTGTTGGGTCTCAGCAGGACTGGCAGAGTGTGCTTGTCCTCCACAGGGGCTGGAGTCTCAGCCTCCCAGAGTGTTCCTCCTGTCCCTGGTGTCCAGCCCTGCTAGTCACCAGAACCCAGTGCCACGTGGACTATGTTCCTCAAGCACATCTCCAGGGGCAGGTATGCAGAGTTCGTAGCACTTGCCCCTCCCTGCTCCATTCCTCTTCCTCCTGCCTGTAGGCTGGGATGGCGGAAGGGCTGGAGCCCCATTCTATTATGGCTCTGCCACTTTACCTTACTCTATGTGGGCT